TGGTGGTACTGGGGATTGAACTCACAACCTTGCGCTTGCCAGGCAGGTGCGTATGCCACTGAGTTATGTCCCCAACCCATGTGTGGATCTTTGGAAATTTGATAACAATGTGTCCTGAAGAAGTTTTCTGATCATAGCTATTTGGGATTCTATATCTCTCAATTTTCTCTGTGTTCAATTCTTTCCTCATACTCAGAAAGTTTTGTGCTATTATTTCTGAAAATAGGTTTTTAATATCATTCATGCTGTCTCCTGATTTTTTGCTATTTCTGATTGATCTTAGATTAGTCCTCTTTGTATCATCTAGCAACTGTTGGGTACACTTTGCATGTTCTCTTGTTTTTAGTTTCTCTGAGTATGTGGTCACCTATACCAGCTCTATCTCTAATGCTGAATCTCTCTCCTCATGTTACCCTTTTGTTACCTATACTTTCAATAGAAATTTGTATCTCTTCTATTTTGGTTTGATACATTTTCATGGACTCTAATTCTTTGCTAACCTGGTCATTCATGTGTTTAATAATTTTGCTTAGCTTGCTAGCTTTTCAGTAGTGTGTTCTCTAAACTCACTGATCATTTTGTTTATTAAGTCTATTATTTGTTTAGTTATATCATCTTTGAACTCACTAAGGACCTTATTGATCTGTTTATTTTTCTCTCTTTCACCATTTTGTGTTTCTCAACTGTTTGGCTGTTGATTTCATTCCCATTTACACCCCATAAACCAGCTTTGAGGAAGTGTGGATCTTTTGGGGAAGTTGGGAAGTTGGCATTTGGTTGCTTTGTTTTCTCATGTTTCTATTGGAGTGTGTATGTGTGTGTGTGTGTGTGTGTGTGTGTGCGCATGCGCGCATGCGTGCTGAGAGTTATAGGTCAATTATAATGGAAATACTTTGTTGCGAGTGTGGATATCTCTTTAGTTAGTGACTAATTTCCAGTGATACTGTCTGCATGTAACTAGCTATTTCTCTTTGTCTCTGTCCAAGATCTGACCTCCATTAATTTGGGAAGAGGAGGGTGAAGTGTAATTGGTCCAGCATCCAGTTTTCTGGAAAAGAACCACAATATTGGTGATGACATAAAGACAAACCAGATATTGGTATGCATTAAAAACCAATTGATAGCAACATCTATGCTACCTTGACAATAGCAATGAAATCAAGTTAAACTGGAGATAACATAAGGAGTGATAAAAGCTACTGCTGTAGTGAATTAACAATAGGAAAAGGCTCTGTAATGAAAATATAGACACCAAGGCAAACCAAATATTGACAGAATAAATATCTACTAAGTTCAAAAATTATACCACTATTAGCAAAGGAAAATAATTCAACAATGGCATAGAGTCAATTAAATATCTAAAGATCAATAAAGCTTAATAATAAAACTAGTAAAGAGGGAGAGGGTGGGAAAGAGGAAAATGAAAGAAGTGTAATTTAAAGAATAGAGAAAAGTAATACAAGAAGGTAAAGAAAAAAGTGAGATAAAGGGCCTTAATATGGAGTAAAAGGATTAATAGAACTAGCTAAAAGTAACAGTGTGGAGAAGGATATTCTTTGGTTGGAAAGCACTGAGGACACACAGTGATTTGTTTATTGTTGCAAAAATGAACTGAAACCTTTCAGCTGAAGATAAGAGTGTATTTGAGTTGCAAGAGATCCCTATTTTTTAGTCTTACCATGCATTGTAAAAAGTAATGGGAAGTAAGGACTGTGATTGTAGTGGATTGATAACTAGCTGTCAACTTATGACCCCCAGCTGAACTGAGTAAGCGTGGTGCTGGGTGTAGCAGGCCCACCAGGGGATTGTTGCCAGCAGCATAAGAGGCAGAACTGGAGAAGGATAATGCTTTAATTACTAAAACGTTTGGTATCCGTCCATTTGTACTAGCGACACCCTTGGTTCTCACTCAATAAAAGGTGACTGAGGTTGGTAATTGGGGCTGCAGTCTGAGAGGCTGTAAGCCCCCTGATCCCAGACTTTTGCCTCTCTTGTTTTTCTTGTCTCTCTTACTTTTTCATAGCATCCACGGGCACCTCGTTCTCTGGACCTGTCACCCTGGTTAGAGCAACGTAACAGAAAAGAACAAACAAGAAGAAAGAAAAAAGAAAAAGCAGCAGAATAAAGAAAAAATAAAAACAAGAAAAACAGCAAAAATTCAAGGAAAAATAAGAAATCCCAAAACCAATGGCAAAACTACAGAACTGAGTACAAAATAATTCTTCTGTGTTTTTGAATGAGTGGTTTCTTTCTAGGGTTTGCAGTATTGGAATACGCCAGAGATGGGAGAAAGATAGCGAGTCACTATTTTGTCTTTCATTGTTGTTGTTGTTCTTTGTTTTGAGACAAGGTTTCATTACTTGTTTGAGCTGGCCTTGAATTCACTGTGTAGCCCAGGCTGGCCTTGAACTCATGCCAATCCTCCTGCCTTATGTGCTCCTAAGTGCTGAGATTACAGGCACGCGCCACCACTCCAGGCTTGCCAGTCACTATTAAGACCTATTTTGTTTGCACGCTCACGTGTTTGGGTGCAAATGCTGAATCCTGCCCTGCCTTTCGTGCATGGTGTGGTCAGTTAACGGTTTCCACCATAAGGGTATATTCACTCTAGGCACTTGTAGGTTCCAAGTCTCTTTGTGTGCCTCAAGTTATGGCTTTCACCACTGAGCTTTATGGCCCATGGGTTTGTAAGGTATCACCGCTCCTCCAGTTCCAGAGGCCATTCTATCTGTATACCATAGGCTGTGGCAACCATCCAAGCTGAGATGCATCCCTGCTTGTGTTGGCAGATGGGAAACTCAAAGAGACCCCTGAACTCTGTGTTGGATATTGGATATAGGCAAGTGGGCAGGGGAATCAAGCAGTCCAGTGGACTTAATGTCAGCACTTTCAGACCCAGCCCTTTCCAAAAGCTATGCACAACTGTCCTTGTTTCCCAACATGGAGGATAGCACCATTATGTCCCACTTATCCTATACTTCTCAGGGGGTATATGTCTAGTCCTTTCCCTCTCTAAAACCATCTCTTGTGGCCATCTCCCACCCAGTCACTGTGGTAGGGTGATCCCAGAAACTCTGAAGTGTAGTTTTTCTGTAACATCTTCCAAAAATAACTCCTGATTAAACTCTCTCAAATATGATGGGCACTGCAGTGGATATCTTCTTCAACTCTAGTCAACCATGTGGACGGAAATAACTTTCAAGTATAAAACCCCACACTGGTTTGTTTTTTGGAGCTTAAAAATAGCCATGAGCTTATCCTGGAGCTAGTTCTTCTAGCCCAGTCCATTGTTTCTCACTGGAGCTGCTGACCCTCTTCAGACTTACCTTGTATTAATGGAGATGAGTCCTCCTCCATGGGAACTAGGGAAGCTTTCCAAATTACTTCATTCTTTTCTCTGCACTGTGCTCCATTTCTCCAGCTTCTCTGTGGTGTCTAGTTTTTCAGTTAGCACCCTCCTGATTCCCAGAGATCTACTTTCTTCCTACACTGAGTTGTTTTTTCCCAGGAGTCTTGCTTCTAATCCTGGGGAGGCTGTATTTTAGTGTCAGTCATTACCCAACCATTTTAAATCCATCTTTCATGAACTCTGTTTCAGAGTCCTGAGAAAGGTGGCCCAGTCATGCTGATACCTTCACTTTAGACTCATTTCAGATTTCTGACCTTCTCAGTAATAGAATAAATGTCATTTTAAGTCACTTAATTTGTGGCACTTGTTACAACCAAATGAATCACATGGAGTGCCTATATGTGGTGGTGAATTACATATGATTTTAGTTGTTGTTTATTGTCTGGTAATGTGTTTGTTTCTTTTTCAGGATTAACTATAGGCTATCCTTTAAAGTAGAAAAAGTACCAGAGACAGGAATTTCTCACTGCTCTCTATAGCCCTATTGGTAGTTTCAGCATCCACTAGGGACCTGGTGCCCATCCTCTACCAGCACAGAAGGCTGTTGTGATTACAGCATGTACAGCACTTCTGTGACCCAGATTCAGGTTCCAAACAAAGTCATATACTCACTTGCCATACAACTGCACTTCTGCAATGACAGGAGAGCACATGGGGCTCAGAGAGGCCAGGTCACTTGTTCTGAGCCACACATCTAGGAAGTAACAGAGGTGGCTATACTTCAGGCAAGTTGGCTCTGTGGTTCAGGAATACTGAATTTTTCTCTGTATTAATAGACACTGGAGTAGCAGGTAGAACCCGTGAACAGCCCTAATCTCATACCTCCCTGGATTCCCACTTAGCCCTCTAATTCCACAGTTCCTTCCACTAAACCAGAGGAATTTGTTCCATTCTCTTTGACTCTGGGTTTGGCCATGTGCTATGCTTTGGCTATGAAAGGTTAGCAGCTGTGGAATGTCCAATGCCAGAGTACATAAATTTATGACTGAGCTTGCCCTCTTGTGCACATACCAAGGACTTGCTCTAGACTAGACTGCTGCTTCCAGGATTGAAGTGAGGGGCACATGGCATAGAGCCCAACCTGGATTAGCTGTTGATCTGCAAACTCAAGAGCTAAGTGAATACGTTTAATGTAAATGGGTGAGAATTTGTAGCTGTTTCTTACACAGCATTATTGGTATAATAGCTAACTGATATAATGTGTGTCTCTGAAATTTTTCTGACTGCATACAGATTGGTCTTACCCAGACCGGGAAGTTACAAGCAGACAATCAATACTAACGTTTACTCAAATTTTGTAAGGAATGATCTGACACAGGGTGAAAATATTCTAATTTTTTTAGTTTTCCTTTTTTTCTTTTTAGGTGTTAATTGTGTTCATGTGGTCTACCACTGAGGTACACCCTCAGCCTTTATATTCTGATTCTTCCATGAAATCATTTACCTAGGCAAATCAAAGACATACTCCATTTACTTGAAGAGACACTACTTATTTGGCTAAAGTCATGGAGGAAGCTATGTTGTTCGGTAAGTGAAAGTGTCAAGCAAAAAATGTATACACACTTCTCACACTGGACTGCAGAATACAGACCTTAGGCAACTCCCAACTGAGGAAAAGTTCTCTGTGCAGACTTCCACAGCTTTGATATCATTGATGGTAGGTATCAGCCATCACCTCTGAATGCCTAGGGACAACAATGAGCCCAATTGGTGATATATGCAATAATACATCTATGTACTGTGTTATATACATGGAGATTACTGGAGTCTTTAGGTCCTCAGAAACCAAGCCTTACAGGCAAACAGGGAACAAATGGGATGGTTGTGATGATGTGTGCATCACTAACAGGACACTAGAGCACTGAATATTGCTGAGTATAAGTGAGAATTCTAGAAAGACAAAAGGCTGGGAACACACACAGAAATTTGATTATCCACATTTTATATATAAATTACTCAAATGATCACACTTTTGGATTTAAGGGTAAAAGATACAGTTAAAAAATACTTTGTCTAAATTACAAACAGAATAATCAAATTACTCATGAGGTCTGTGGACAGCCAGTGTCACCTTTTCTTACATGACTTCTGATTCCAGCAAGAAGCAGTTGAAAGAAGAGTGCTGGCACATCAGAGCAGCAAATTTCAAGTGAGAAACAGCTCCCAGCTCCCAGCTCCCAGCTCCCAGCTCCCAGCTCCCAGCTCCCAGCTCCCAGCTCCCAGCTCCCAGCTCAGCTGAATAGGAATAGCCACCTCTGAAAAGGCATTCACCCTTTCAGCTCTGGGAGGCTGCCAAGAAGGCAGGCAGTCACCTGTAGGACTGAAGGCTGCCCTGTTCTACTGGGCTGTAGGGAAGGCCTTTACATCCACATAGTGACTGGGTCCAGTTCAGTCCCTCTGGCTAAAGCCAGAGAAAGGAAGTGATGGAGGGAGGAAGAGAGGAGGAGAGATGGGGAGGGTAGGAGGGAGGGAGGGAGGGGGAGAGAGAGAGAGAGAGAGAATGAATATATTGCCCTCACATTGCATGTCCTTGCATGTATGAACATATACCCATGTGTTTGGAAGGCATGTTTGGGGAAGGCAAAGGCCACTGGTGATAGAGGTAAATCTTCCACCATACGCTAGAAAGTTCTTTGTGGGATTAACAGGAAATAAGGATTAAAACACTCCCTTGAAAGAACAAATGCCCTAATATTACCTAATCATCAAGTCATCTGAGGGATTGGCTATCCATTAATCATGCATTTGGTTAGAAGACTTTTTGAAGAAACACACCCTGATCAACAATTTTTAGGTAATAATCAGCAAATTATAACCAAGTCATCAGCTGGTGAACAGCATTCCCTGTGCTTATTTACCACAAATACATCTGCTTTGATGAGGTGTCTTTCACGTTTGTTTCCCACTTTTTATTTGGAATGCTTGTTTTCATACTGATGGATTTTGAGCAGTCTTTATTCCTTATGGATAAAAACCCTTTGTCAGAGATATGATATGAAAATATTTTATCCCAGTCTATGACTTAGCAATTCGAAATTCACAGCATGACAATGTTATTTAATGAGTGGTGTTATTTGTGAGTTTACCATTTTTGCCTTAGGCCAGAGTTTCTCTGTCCAATTGTGGGAAAAAATAAATTCTATCTTTTCTATCAAACAGGAGTGACTACATCTTGGACTCTAGCCCATCCTAGATAGCCCTTCCTGAACACACTAAATTACAGAAAATGATTGCACAGTTCTTTTTTTTTTTTTGGTCTTTTTGAGACAGGGTTTGACTTTGCATGTCAGGCTGGCCTTGAACTCACTTTGTAGCCCAGGCTGGATTTGAACTCACAGCAATCCTCTTGCCTCAGCCTCCCAAGTTCAGGGATTACAGGTGTGTGCCACCACACCTGGCTAATGATCACTCACTTCAAACCCTGGGAGCACAGCTACTACCCCAAGATAGTTTATCAGGGGCCAAAGATGTTCTGTTCTCCACATCCTCCTCTCCTCTGCTCTCCCTTCCCCTCAACAACCCTTTGGATTCCTCCTTGCACCATCTGAGTTAGCCAGCTAGGATAGATTGTGAACCTCCAAACCAACCAATGGAAAAGAGGTCAGCTGCTCCTCCTGCATTAGGGCTAAAGGGGCAATCCTCCTTTGTCCTTCCTGTATGCTTGCTACCTCCTCATTGCTGGGATGTGCTTGCACCCTTTTTCAAAAGTAAAAGCCTTGTCAAGATTTCTTGATGTCTGAGTGCTTTATTATCTACACCAACAAATTGAGTCTAGGAGCTCATTTCCAACACACTGCATCAGGGGTTATTTACCACCATCCCTGGGCCCACCCACTGGATGCTAGTACCATCCCACCCCTAGGTTTGTGGCAACAAATATTACTTGCCAACATTGCCAGATGTCCTAAAAAGTAACACAATTATCCCAGTTGAGCACTGACTAAGACTAACTGAAGTTGGCTTCTCTTATTTGACATTCAGAGTCTTAACATCACATATGTGTTACAGTGTTCTGGGGAAACGTGACTCTGTTATGCAGGGAAGTCTTCAAATGGAACAAGCAATAACTTCTGTAAATCTCCAGCCATATTTACATGGCTGCATTTCCTTGCATGACACTGACCCAAATTCCTGTCAGTGGTTGAAAGGATTTTTGTTCGCAAGAAGGAGCAGGCCACTGCCCAGTTCAGGGCAAAAGTGAGGTGTTTGCACATTCACTGTTTAGGCACATTCCCCAAAATACGCAAACACATGCAAATTGGAGGAGGAACTTATTTTGGCCTATAGTTTCAGTAGGTTCAGTCAAAAGTCACCTGACTCCAAGCCAGAATGGGCATGATGTAAAGGCCTGCCAGAGATCAGCTGCTCAACACATCATAGCTAGAAAGCAGAGCATGAGGGGAGGAGCACAGGAGAAGAAGAATACCCTTCCAAATCACAACCCCAGTAACCTTCATCTATTAAAAACCCACCTCCTCATAGCAAATCAGCTATGAAATCCTCAATAGACTAATCCACTGAGTAAGGTCCTTCCCCCATGATCCAGTCATCTTTCAAACAAATGAGGCTTTTGGGGGGCATTTTATATCTAAAGAGTAAAAACACCAATTTCTGTCAAGGGTCCAGAGAATATTGGTTCTCAAACAGAAAGAAGGGCTGTTGTCCTTCATTGGGAAATAAATATTTTTCTGGGGACACTCATAGCGGCAGCTTTTGTCCACAGCCAGTAGGGTCTGGACTCTTCCCTCCAGCCACAGGCCCCCATTGTGTGGATTCCCTACAGTACCCGCCAGGCTTCCTGCCAGCCTCTTTACCTGGGGCTCCTTTGCTGGACCAGCTGAGGCCTAGTGTGTGGGGTGAGTAGAGTGACCTCACAGCACTCTGCTGCCTCCCTCATAGACACCCTCTGTGACCTAACCCACACCTACTGTCCTTACTCTATGAGGGATCTGAGGGCTTCAAGCCCTCAGGTCCCAGAGCGATTTGCAGCTCCTCTATCTACAATGTGATTTAATCCAAGTAGCAGATATATTAAGGAATAATGGAAATCTAATTAGCTAGATTTTTCTTATAAAATTCATGTTGGCTACTTAAGAATGTATTATCCAAAGAGTCCATAAATTACATATGGACCATCATATCCTAGTTTGAAGATTATTGAACTCAAATTTACCTGCTTTCAAATTCTCCAATTTCCTTCTTTATCTTCCTGAAAGTCAAATTGCCACCTCTCTCCTTCAGTGCATAGTATTTCTACCTTTACAAAAGGCATATTATGATAAATGTCCTACATAAAACCCAGCCAGACATTTAGCCTAGATTTCTGTGGACAGGCAAGGTGCATACAAACTGGTGAAGAGATGACATAAAGATGCATGGGCAGCACTGTTCACCACAGAGAGAAACCAAAACAAGCAAATGTGTGGGAATAAAGGAATGCATCTATGAATTATTGTCACAGACCACATAGTAGGGCCATTGTGCCAGAAGTAAAAATGAACCTGTTTTCAGTATTTCACATGTGCTGAGAAACACGCTGGGGTGTTCCATACATTGCTTTGTGTCACCACAGTCAGAGGAGGAGAACAGCATTCCTGCTCCAGGCTCACAGGTGAGGGCCTGCGGGCAGAGTGAAATAACCAAGCCGGAGCACACTGTCAGTGTCTGTAGAGGGAAATCAGCTGCACCCTGATGTGCGCTCAGGGGCCCTGGCGCTGTACCTGTGTGCAGCAGGAAGCACAGGCGAACTTGCGCACAGGGAGTGAGGATAGTGTATGGCTGCTTGTTTGAGGGTTTTGTAAGGCACAGCCTTTCCTGTGGTCCCAAAGGGAAGTTGAAGTTGTGTGCTGCTAGCGTGTAAGACGTAGGGTCAGGGATGTGGCTCAGCATCCTGCATGGTCCCTACCATAAGGAACTATCTGGCCACAGGTGTCAATAGCACCAGGCATGAGAGACCTGCTTAGGGTCAGGGCAGAAGTGAAATGTTTGTATGGTCATTTACCCTTTCATTACTCTGAGCTAGCATTGAAGCAAAGCCATTTGTTCCCAGACCTACGGTTCCTTAATAACACTGTAATTTCATTCAGCTATTAAGAAACCTGAAATGGAACTGCTTGATAATGGGATTAAGTGCATAAGTATTTGCTTGCTATAACTTAATTTCTGTTTTGTTTTGTTTTGTTTTGTTTTGTTTTGGTTTTTTTGGTTTTTCTCCGGTACCGGGAACCGAACTCACGACCTTGCGCTTGCCAGGCAGGTGCTTTGCGGCTGAGCTAAATCCCCAGCCCCTATAACTTAATTTCTATAAAAATATGTGTGGAAGGATGAAAAGAAAAGAATTTTATTTATTTATTTATTTGCAATACTGTAGAACCCAAGGTCACTGTAGCACTGAGCCACATCCCTAGATTTTTTCTTTTTAATTTTGAGACAGGTTCTCACTAAGTTGCCTAGGCTGGCTTCAAACTTGTGAACCTCTGGTCTCAGCCTCCCTGCTAGCTGGGATTATAGGCATGCAACATTGTGTCTAGAAAAATAAAAGAATTTTGTGCCAGAACTTAAGGATGGACATATCTGTTAGGTGGAATTAAACAGCTGTGTGTATTCACATCTGAAAGTCATATATTTTTGTTATTTTAATTGAGAAAGAAATAAAAATTATTTTTATCTTGTACAGCATGTTGTATTGAAATACATTGTGGAATGGCTACTTCAGATATTTACTATGGTTTTATGTTTAGAACTATTACAATCATCCCCCAGCAATTTTTAGGAATAATTCTTATTAATCACTGTCCACATACTCTGCAACAGATCACTGGAGCATATTTTTTCTAACTGAAATTTTGTGCCCTTTGACCGACATCTCCCCTACCCCCAGAGCTTGGTAGAATTATTCTCCTCTCTACTTCTATGAGTTAAAGTTCTTAGATTCCATATGTGAGATTATTTGGTACCCATCTTTCTCTGCCTGGCTTAGTTCACCTAGCCTAATGTCTTGTGGATTATCCATGCTCCTGCAAATAGCAGGATGCCCTTCAATTTTCTAATTAGAGTTTTTGTTGAGGCATTTTAGTTACAGAGACTAGTGGGCTGCATTTTGGCATATTCCCATCCCCTCACATAACGTACTTCAATTATTTTCACTCTGAATTACTCCGCTTTGCTTTTCTCCTCACCCCCATTCCATTCCTCTTCTCTCAGTCACCCATCCAGTTTCCTGTCATCTCTTTCTCTCCTTTTATTTGTTTTTGTGATTTTGGATTGCACATATGAGGAAGAAAAGATGTGATATTTGACTTTCTGTGTCGGACTTATTTTGTTTAACCTGATGATATATAGTTCAACTCATTTTTGGCAAATGACATGATTTTTTAAAATGACTAAATGATACTCCATTGTGTATACATAACTCATTTCTAAAATCTATTCATCAGCTCTTGCACACCCAGCCTTTTTAGCTATTGTGAAGCGCACTGCAATTAACATGAGTATGGTAGTGTCTCCACACTATGCTAGCACTAATTCTCTCTGGGATATATCAATGCGTGCTGTTGCTAGATCAAATGGTACCTTTAATTTTAGCTCTTTTGGGGATATGCCATACTGATTTCCACACATGCTGTATGAATTTACCTTCACACCAACAGTGTAAAAAGGCCTATTTTTCCCCCACATCATCACCAGCATTTATATTTTTTTGTGTTCTTGATGATAGCTGTTCTAAATGAGGTGAGATGTGTTGATATGCATTTTCCTAATGGTTAAGGAGGATAATACATTTTAGTCTACTTATTGGCCATTCGTCCTTCTTTTGAAAGGTGCTTTTCAATTCATTTGCCCATTTTAGGCCTGGTGTAAGATTTTTTTTGCATTTTTTACATCTTTATAAAGCCCAGATCCAAATCTTCCATCACAAGAGTATCCAGCAGTGATTTTTTTTCATTCTGTGTGTTTTACTTCACTCTGCTGATTGTTTCCTTTGCTGTGCATACACTTTTTGATTTCATTTGTTGATTCTTGCTTTCCTGTTCTGCTGGATATGTATTCAGGAAGTCTTTGTCTTTGTCTATGACTGCAATTGCTTCCCTTATGTTTACTTCTAAAAGTTGCAAAGTTCTAGGTGTTTTACCTAAGTGTTTCATCCATTTTCCATTGATTTTAGTGTAAGATGAAGGATAGAGGTCGATTTTTAATCTCCTACATGTGATTATACAGTATTCCACACATTATTTTTAAGCATGGCGGTCTTTTCTCCAATGTATGCTTTTTGCTCAAATGGAAAGGCAATGGTGCTTGGCTAGAAAGGCTGATTAGTGTAATTATAAACCAATATCTCTGATAGACACTGAAGCAGAAAATCTTTAAGAAAATACTAGAAAACTGATAAGAGCACATTCAATGAATCATTCATCAACATAAAGGGGGATTCATGCCAGAAACACTGGGAAGGTTTAATATTTATGAAAAGTTGCATGTACAAATCTTATATAACAACCAAGAGAAGGAAAGACAAAAAATAGGATCATTTAGATGGATGCAGAGCAAGCATTTGACAAAGTCCAACAATCCTTCATGATTAGAAAAATCCCCACACCAAAGTTTGTATAGAGGAAATGTACCTCAACGAAGAAAGGTCACACGTGAACAACACACATCTGACATCATGGCCCATTAGAAAAAAACAAGTGTTTCCTCCAATGTCAGGAAAACTACAAAGACATCCACTCTCATCACTGCTTTTCAATACAGTACTGGAAATCCTGCCAGAGAAATTTGGCAGAAAAAGAGAATAAAACCCACTGACATGAAAATGGAAGAAGTTGACCCATTCCTGTTTATAGATGACATGACCTTATATGCAGAAAACCCCAAGGACACCTACAAAAAAAAAAACCTGTTAGAAATAATGAACATATTCAGAAGAATTGAAAAATATAAAGTCATACAGAAATCCATAGCTTTCTATACACTCAAAACAGACTATCTAAAATAAACAAATCATGAAAACAACACTGTTAAAACAGTTACCAAAAATGAAATGTGTAGGCATAATCTCAGGTAAGGCAGTAAGAAGCCCATACACCAAATCTACAAAACATTGATAAAAGAAGTGGAAGAAGGGCAAATAAATGGAAAGATATCCAATATCTATGGATTCAAGGAATATTGTTAAAATGTCTACTCGACCCAGTGTGGTCTACAGTTCAGTGTAATCCTCATGAAAATAGCAACAATATTTCTCAAACAAATAGAAAAGCAAGCCTAACAGTCGCATGGAGCCTCAACAACCCGAATAGTGAAAGCAATCTTAAACAAAACAACAACATTGGAGGCATTTCACTACATGATTTCAAAATACATCAAAGTAATCAATATGGATGGCTCCAACACAAGCACTGACATTTAGATCCATGCAATGGAATAGAGAGTTCAGAAATACTTCCATGCACTTATAGGCTATTGATTTTTGACAAAGGTGGAAGAACACAAAACGCAGACAGGACAGTCTTGTAGGTAAATGGTGTTGGGACCACACAACTGGACATCCACATGCAGAAGAATGAAAAGAGTCCTTCATTTCCTACCCCACTGGAAATCAGCTTGAGATGAATAAAGCTAGAAACATAAGGCTTGAAAGTGCAAAAACCATCACAAGAAAGCATGGGGAAACATCCAGGACATGGTTCTGTGCAGTGGGTTCTAAGATAGGAACCCCAAAGCCCAAGTAAGCAATCAAAACCTAACCCAGTGGTATTAACAGCAAATGCAAAGCTTCTGTACAAAAAGGAAGAAATCAACAGACCAAAGGAACACTGTACAGAAAGGGAGAGTGTACTTGAACACGATGTATCTGAGAAGGGATTCATGTATCAGACTAGAAGGAATCAGTTAAGTGGTAAGAAATCAAATAACTCCAATAATGGGCAAAGGACCTTCATAGACATTTCACAGCCTCAGGCAAGTCAGCGGCCAGTGGTATATAAAAAATGCTTATTGCTACCCACCATCAGAGAAATGTAAATTAGAACCACAGTGATACATCATTTCACACCTGTGAGAATGGGTCTTAGCGGAAGATTAAAAACAACACCGGTTAGAACATAGGGAAGATTTACACACAATTGCTGCAAATGTAAATTAGTATATGGAAAACATATCTACTTTCCTAAATTCATAAAATATATTTGCCAGATGACACGAAATTCTATGACATGCTATATATCGAAAGGAAATGAAATCATTACCTCAAATACATATCGACATGCCCAGGCTATTCGCAGCACTCCTCACATGAACCAGGTTATGAAGCGATGAATGATGGTGTGCTAGTCATCTTCAAAACGAAGGAAATCATGCTCACTTTGGCAGCATATATAGTAAAACTGGAGGAATAGAGAAGACTGACAAAGCCACCACGCAAAAATGACATGAAAATTCATGAAGCATTTGTATTTATTGATCATTTATGTAGAAGACCCTAAGAACTCCAATGCAAGATTTTTAGCTCCAATAAATTCTGAAATGTGGCAGGAGAGAAAATCAACACACAAAAATGGTTTTTTCATACATCAACAAGGAAGCCAGTGAGAAAGAAAGCAGGAAAACAATTCCATTTATAATAGCTTCAAAAAAAAAAAAAATACCCCGCCAAAGAATGAATCTCACCAAGGAGCTGAAAGACCTCTCCCAAAAAAATTCCAGAACAAGAAGAAATACATGTAAGACACCAGACGATGGAAAGACCTCCCCTGTTCATGGATCTGCAGAATAATAGTTGTAAACTGGCAACGTGACCAACAGACTCAGTGCAGACCCGTTCACATTCCACTGACATTCTTCACATAGCTAGAAAATACAGTCCTCAAACTTGTGTGGAAGCACAACAGACCCAGAAAGGGCAAAGCAATGCTGAGCTCATAGTGTCAGATTTCAAATTATACTACAAAGCCAAAGGCAAAAAACACTACATTTCTGACTCAAAAACAGACACATAGACCGATGGAATCAAAGAGAGGACACAGAAACACGCCCATGCAAGTAGTTATCTGATTGCTGACCAGGGAGCCAACAGCGTAGGTGGGTGTAAAGACACTCTCTAACAAATGGTGCCAGGATAACTGGATAGCCCCTGGTACAAAACTGAAAATGGACCCCTTTCCCTCACCTTGCACTAAAATCCATTCAAAATGGATCAAAGACCTAAGTAGAAGACCTTCAGTGGTCAAACACCTAGAAGAAAACACAAAGGGAGGGCACTTGAAGACCTTAACACAGGCAAAGACTTCTTGATTAGGGCACCAGTAGCACAGGAAATGAGAGCAAGAATCCTCAAACGGGGCTGCATGAAATACAAAAGCATCTGCACAGCAAACGAAGCAATCAGCAGTGTGAAGAGACAGCTCACC